CTCGCAGCGCGGCAACGTGTCGCGCCGGCGGCCGCAGCGCCACCAGAACGCGCACGGCTTCCGCAACGACAAGTACGACACGAGCGCCCGGCAGAAGGTAGGCCCTGCCCGCCCGCTCCCCGCCCCCTCCCCTCCACGAGCCGTTGGGCGACCGGTAGCGCGAGCCGCTGGTAGGGGGAGGGGCGCTCCGGTTTGGCGCAGCTCTGCTTGGCGCATCTCCTGTCTTGAGAATTTATTCTGCACATTTTATTTCATTTTCTTTACGAACAGCGCTTTCCATCTTGCATGTTTTTGATGCAACTTAAAAGGGACTTGGTGTTTCCTGTAGGACTTAAAGAAAAACATTCGGGAGTTTTTCTGGGTAGAAAAAAAAATACAGAGTTGTCCATAATTGTTTTATTAGTATTTTTGCTACACACACGCCCTAGTTTCACATTATTGCTGTAAAGCACCCTTGTGTCTTCATTGTTTTCAGGCAAGGAAAATGAAGTAATTTACAATATATTCTTGGAACCTGCTTAATGTGCTTGTAGTTGTGGTACCGTAATAGCAGTGTGGGAGAGGATGAAGAGCAAGAGTGTGCCCAAGCAGTAACAGTGAATAAAAGAGGATGTTCCCTATTCATGGCCAAAGTGAAATCTAGAACAGAAGATGGTCTTTCTGACAAAGTTTTATCTCAATCTATTCCTATGGCAGTTATGTCAGTATTCCTTTAAGCGAACTTGCTTGGGTTGTCAAAAAGAAATACCTGGGGGAGGGGAAGAAAGTAATAAATCAAAGTAATGTCTCAAAAGAGGGAAGGTTTTTGTTAGAGACTGGTTTCACAGGTTGAGCAGGCTGCTTTCCTAGGGCTCCAAGCAGTGCTGGGTATTATTTACTGTGTGTCACTATGTGAATGATATTCAATAGAAATATTTTCCTGTCTACCCAGCGTGTGCACACACACACACACATAATATCCTAGAGAGATAGTCTGTCAAAAAAGGCATTTTAAGAAATACAGAGCCTGGTATCAGTTTTGTAGCTTAGGTACTCCTTTAATAGCCACAAGGATATTTTAAGTATTTCACATTATATAGAACTGGCTGCACAGGACCATGTATTTAACAGTAACAACAAAAAAGTAGCTAAGACTTGCTGTGAGTAGTAACTAAGATGTGGGCCTGAGGCTTTCCTCTTTCTCTTTCAAGCAAATGATTTCTTCCTCTCTGTACCTGCAGTTCTTGAAGCTGGCTGAATGTAGGGTTTTGAAGAAGCTGCTTTTTAATACAGGGTGAAATAACAGGAAGTAAATGAGGGGAAGGATGTATTTTCATTTGGCATATAATCACTTTTTTTGAGGCAGGGAGGGGAAGCTTTTAGCACAATGGGGAGTCTGCCTATAAAGGATAACTAGGCTTTATTCAGTTATTTAGAAAATTTGAAAATAAATTAGACTAATGAAAATTAAATGGCATTTAACAATATAGTTTCGATACAGAACATTGAGCTTTGCATTTCTTTCTTGTCTCTCCTTGATGCACATGTAGACCTGAATGATGTACCAAGGACATTCAGGCCATGATGAGGAGAAGGAAGTAATACTATCAGTTTGATCATGAGTACTGGCGGACACACTTCTCTCCTACCTCCTTGTGGTTGAAAGAATGCTTAGAGCTACTGAAAGAGGATTGATCTGCAAATCATTGCTTAAAAAATCATTGAAGGTTTGTGGCCTGTTTCTGACTACTGTTAAACACTGTACATCTCAAAACTATCTGGAAAGACTGTAGAACACTTATTAGTTTAAGATTTATGTTATGCTGCCTTCATGCACTCCATTAGCAGTGTTGAATAAAGTACATTACCTTCAGGTTGCTCTATGAGTGACATTCAGGTAGTTATTTGCAGTGCTTTTGCTGCTCCTCTCAGTGGAGGAATAGCTGCAGAAGAAATTGGTCTAATAGTCTTCTGACTTTTCCCTGCTGGCCATCATTTTATTTATTTGTGCTTTTATACTGTCTCTGACGGTGACCTTGCCGTCCTTTTTCTAATCTAAGATTAACATCTAAGATCACAGATGTGATTACTTGCAGAGCATGCTGACAGATCCATCTGTCTTTCTTTACTACAGCATTATTCTGGGTTGGGAAAGCTGAGGTGAAATACCCTCTCACCACAGTATGCTGCATCTGTACTGTATTTGGGTGCACCCTACAACAGTGCATGGAAAGCTTGTGTGCTATGTTGAATTGAAGTAGGAAGAGCCTGGCTGGGTATGACACCTTGTGCATTGTTACTGAATCTGTGAATTTGTTTATGGATGCTTGCTTTACATAGTATAACTCAGAACATCTGCTTGTGGCACTGAAATGAGGAACATAAATATACATTTTATATAAACTATATTGTGTATGTCAACATGGAAACTGCAAATGAAGGCAGTTCTAGAGATGAAAGCAAATAGCATTCAAGAAGAACTTTTAGAACTCCATTGTAATAAGATGGTAAACCACAAAGTGATTCATATTTACACCCAAATGACTAATCTGTTCCTCCATTTCTTTCCTCTCATTAACTATACTCCAGATATACATCCCAGGTAATCTACATTTCCCTCAATTTCAGAGCTTATTAGCTCTGAGCTTTACGATAATGTTGGTGTCAGCTACTTCATCTGGCTGTATGGATGAGTAATTTCTTTTAGTGAAGACACTAGAGAGCCAGTAAGAGTGGAACAGGTGAATATTGGATTTAAACGTTGACTCAGTGAGTGTGACTTAAAGCTTTAGAAAATAAGATATAGATAAACTGGTAATCGTTGGGCATTGTCAGATAACAGTGCTGGGGCTATTGGTTAGCTTGCACTCTTACTGCACACTAAGGGAGGTCAGTAGGATAAAGTCTGTTCTCTATCCATCCCCGTTACGCTCTGTTTAAAGTGAATTGCTACTACCTTTCCTGTATGAAGATTGGGAGCAAAAAGAGCATCAGATTTTGACTCTAATGTAACGCTGCAGTGAATATCTATTTTCAGTTGTTTGTGGAGGAAAGAGGATAGGAGGTGATTGTCAGTCCTTCTTCCAAGTGTTCACTATCTTCACTTGCTGGGTGCTTATGTATGTTTTGAAATCCATGATTGCTGTGGGAGAATGAAGGTGCTATAAAGTTCTTGACTGGATTGGACAAAGCTAAATGTCTTGATCTCCAAGGTGAGCTTTTCGAATTGGGCTTAAAAAAAGATTTTGGTTTTACAGGTGTAAAGAGTCCCTAGTAGTAAAGCACAGAAGTGCCTTAACTAGATTTATAGCTATCTGTACCCAAACTTGGGTTACCTTGCTAAACACATTTCTCTGTAGAAAAAATACGAGAAAGTACCCACACAGAAAATTGAATTTAAAATAACACTGGCACAATATGTGAGCAAATGAACTTCTTTAGACGACTTACTGAATTGTTTGTTAGAACTGACCCGTCTCCTTTCCCGCCTCCACCCCAACCCAAAGCTGCTGCTTTTATTACAAGGTTTAGTATCTGCCATGTTGTACTGCTCTGCCATCTCTGCTTAGTAATCACACTCCGGTGTTCACGAGTGAAGTTTTGCTTTTTTGAGAAACATGATTGTTCAGAAAGTCTGCATTGAGCCATGGTGACCAAAACCTTTCACATGTGCTTCTGTGAAAGAAGTTTGTGGATGACTCTGGCATCGTGATTATTTGCACCAGAACAGACCACTGATAAGTCCTTGATGCTAGAGTTCTGTTTTTAACACAATCAATTCAATTTAATACAATCAATTAAAATACATGTATGTGTACAAATAACTAGAAATTTCTAAACAGACACTGAAGCTTCTTTGAAACTTCATCATTACATCTTGCTTTTGATTGATTTAATGCTAGTTAAGCTAGGGATTATTTCGTGTGCCAAGTTAGTAGGTGTAGGTGTGTGTGTTTATTTTAATACATTCTGAACTGCTGCTGACAAGTTGTTAAATGACTTAATATTGGCTAACCTCGTATAGAGAAGAAGATATTTTCTTAGTGTTTTATATATTTTGTCTACATACACCTGACAGTGTATATGTAATACATACATGGATTATTTTGTGACTGTGTTCTTCAAATCTGTGTTTGTATGTCTGTATGGCTTATTTCCATTTCTGTAGAGAATATATAGGAGGTAATATGAGATAATGATTGGATCAGTTGTCCTGGTCCTTGGAGGAAGTACAGCAGTGGGGAAAGAGGAAAGAACTATTGCATGCAACAGGGAAATAGGAGTAAAAGCCATGAAGAAACTTGTGTGATAAACAGCGATTCTAATCCGTTAAGGTAGTTCGTATGCCAATAAATCAATTACAGACCACAAATTGTGACACATCTTCGTGTATGAGAGCTAGTTACCAAGGTAAAAAAGTTTTAATAGAAAAAAAAATAGACAAGCCTTGTTCAGGTCTGGTGTCTAGCTTTCTTTTTCTCCTTTTTTTAACTGTTAAAAGAAACTTCTTGAAAGAAAAAAGAACTCTTGAAAAATAAAAGGGGAATATATGAAAAAATACAAAATATATAAATTAGAAAAGAGTATTTGCAGGAAAAGTGAGTATTAGGGAGTTTTTTTGCTTTAACAAATAACTTTATTGGTCTGAGTGGAAACTGAGAAAACAGGAAAGTTTCTTATCTTTTGTATTAGGAGAGCTTATTCTTATATGTGCTATTTTGAATTCTAAAACTTTGAAAAGTCAGTTGATTCAAATCCTTAATTGTGGATGACTTTGCTTTTTTTGAACCTGCTTTGCTTTTGAAAAATGATTTGGTACTTTTTGTCCAAGAAAAAAAGTGGAATTTATTATAAAAATCATAGGAAATTACAAATCAACCTGTTTCAGTAATAGTAACATTTAACAATTGTATGTTTTTCTGAGCAAAATAAACTTAGAAGATGTGCATATTAGGGTTAGAATCGGCTAATAATTTCTGCCTGCTCACTTCACATCAGTCCATCCTTCTCTGTTGACTTTCGAAAGCAACAACCAGCAAAAGAATGCTAATATTCATATTTTCTCTTGCATTCAATTGTGTCAGTACTTAAGTACATCACTGCATGCTTAAAGTGCCCCCACCACGTAAAAAGTAAAGAAAATTACTGAGGGGAAAGAAGAGAAAGAATTTAGAAGTTCTAGTTTTTCTTTATATTGCTATCTTCAGAGCAGATATCATATGTGGTTTCTTTGAGTTTCTAAGTAGGGCGTGTTGTCCTACAGTTGATTGTGTGTAGTCCAGGAGCCTATTCTCAGATGAGGATCTTAGTCATACATCAGTGTGATTGTTATAATAGATACAGTCTGATTTGTTGTCCTGATCCTGTATTAGTAGTACCATAATATTACAGCATCCTTTCTCTTAGGAATCATGTGCTTCTATTTCAAATATATGTTTGTGATTTAGCATGACAGTTTATTACATCTCCTTGAGACTACCTTCCAAAAAAATGTTTTCTTCTTGAAGAATAATTTAAATAACTGTAATTACTAGTTTTTGTATACTCAATCACTCTGTTTAATGCTTAGGAGAGTTTGCTTTTATTGCTCTGCAGTCTTCACCCTGTGATTCTGTGTGTCTAGATATTTGAGGATGATTTCTATATTTATTACTTATTTTAAACCTTAATAAAGGTGTCTCTTTTTATCTGCTATGTATCTTAACAGGAGGACTATTGGCACAATGGACTTTTGAAATGATGCCTTTTTTTTTTTTTTTTTTTAACTAGAACTCACAAGATCAATGGGTAGGAGAGGTTAGAAATTGCTCCTCTTTTTGTTAGTCATTTTGCGAATTATTCTAACTGAATTTTGAGTTATGTTTTTCCCTCTTTATTCCCAGTCTAACTCTTCTACTTACTAAATTCTGTTTTGAATTTGTGTAAGTGCTGTGCAAAAGGGTGGTGCATGTAACTTTGGAGGAGAACGAAGATGTAGGAGCATCATTGTATACTTTTTGAGACTGTGTTGCTCTACGCCTAGCAAGCTCTTCTGTCTCTGTCCATAGGATAAAATAGTCCTCTTAGCTCTCCAATCTTTCTAAATTTAGTCATCACTTCAATATTATTCAAAAAATACATCTGAGTACAAGCGAACTTCACTCTTACAGTGTTGTCCTCTAGTTAAGTTGAATTTTTCTGCAGTTCCTGTAGGGAATCTTCACCTTCATTGCATTCTCTCTCTCTCTGAAGTTAATGGCTTAATAAAGCCATTAACTTGATATAGCTTGATCTAAAAGTGGTATTATGTAGCTCTTCAGAATATGATAATGTTTCTTAGGGACTCAAAGTGATGTAAAAGTTTGAGATAACACTAGATTCCTTTTTCTTCGTGATTTTAGTGTATAAGCTGATAGCTGTTAGCTTTTCTTAGATGGCGTTCTTACTCTTCAGCTTTTTACTGCATATTTGAGTTAGCTGTGGTCATACCAAGAAAATGGCAGTGTGCTTGTGTCAGCTTAAAAGGACTGTGTCTAAATAATCTGAATACATAGGCAAGCTTTGATTGAGATTGACTGACTTTAAGTAGCTTGTGGAACTGTTGTTGAAGTTAAATTACATTATTTTACTTTTTTCTATAGCTTCGTATGTGTTATTCATCTTAAAGCTTTGTTTTTGTGGTTAAACAATGTGCTAAAGTATATAGAGAGAACACTGATCGCTGGGTTGAGGACGCTGCATGAGAGCTTGAGCTTTGTTATTAAATGTACACATTCTATAAAAATAAATGTGGAAAAGCCCAATTGACACTGCTTTTACGTCACCTTGTAGCCTCTTGGCTTTCCAGTAAAGTGAATGCTGGTAAAGTGAATGCTGGTAAAGAGAAGACCTATACCATGAGTAATACGAAAAGGCCTCCTAGAATTTGGAATGGCCTGCATTTTATTTTTTTGTGATTTAAAATATCCATTGCTGATTCTCTTCAGCACCCAACTGATAAGCGTCGGGGGGAAAAGGCATTATAAATATCTACTGATAAGGATTATTCTCATTTCCATGCTTCATAAGTAATATTCAGTTCTTTTTAAGAAGAGTTTTTAATCAGCTACCTGTTTGACAGTCTTTAAATGGGAACTACTCTCTCATACAAAGGAAATTCATTCTTCTGTATTGCTTGTGTCATATGCAGCTCTTCTGAGCATGACCTCTTGCAACCCAAGTATGTGTCACGTGAGCCCATCGGTGTTACACAGTATCAGGTAGTTACAGCCCTTCACCTCCAGTTGCCATACCACTGTGTACTGTTGGAAACTAGCTAGTTGTCAGGAAGGGGCCAGTTCTCTTTTTAAAGGTAACCACTTAGCAGCAACTAGCAGTGTTCATCTCAAACCATCACAGTCTTTTGAAATTTATTGGGCTTCTCCTTAAAAATACAGTTAAAGTGCTTCTGCAAATACAAACTACAGCGTTTCTATTTTGCTCCTCTCCTGCATTACTAATTAATGCAAATCAGTAGAGCTGAGGGAGAAGTGGGGGAGTTCAGGCTAATTTGCAGGTTATTAGTTATTTATTCAGGCTATACCACTTGGAGCTATTTAAGCACTGAAAAGAAGGCTTATCTTCAAATTGTGAGAATTTTGAAAGAATAAAGCAAGGTTGGTGCTGACAGAAGTTTGAACTGCCAGCCTTTTAACAAATATATGTGAGAACATGGCAATGATTTTCTTCCCTCAGAAAGATTCTAAGTTAGTTGCATGTTTGTAGCTACCCCACCTCTTTAAGCCTTTTGCAAAATGTTTTTTTTTATCTTATTTTAACATGCTAACTCTGTCAGTCATTTGAAAGAAAAACAGCTCTTTTAACTCTAACAGTCAAAAAACACCACAGTTTCAGGTAAATAAAGCATGGGAAAATTCATACTGCATGGTTTAAGTTTAGTAAAGACAGAAAAAAATGAAAGCAAGCTCTATAGTATAATCTCACTCTTAAGCAGTGTTTCCTCTCTCACATACTATTTTGGAAATAGTATATTTTTAAAGTATAGAGAGTATATTTTTACTGTACTGAGGTAGCATTTTGTGGAGTTGTAAGAAGATCTTACTTCAAGACCTAAAAGTAGGTGATTACTTCAGAAGCTACTGTATGCATTAGTAAACTTTCTGATGTGTCTGTAAAAGAATAATCTAAATTTTAAGATTATGCAGAATTTGTACCAAAGAATCCCTACATGTTCTAATCATTATATGTGTTTTTAGACTGTAACACATAATTTTGGTACAATAGCTGTTTTTTAGACTATTAAAATAGGCACAATGGAAATTCTAGGCATACAATTACTGTTAAAAGTTACTGCTGTTTAAATTGCTGTTGGCATTTTTGGAGCAAGAAGAAAAAGAAAAGATTCAGATTGAATTGGTATATGTCGCATGTTCTTTAAGACAACTGTATGGTTTCCTGTTCTCAGAATAACTTCTCCTGTGCAAACAGTGGAGGCCAGTTGACCTTTTATAGTCTCAAGGAGACTAAACTCAAAACACTGCAGAAGATCCTACAGTAAATTTTAAATTGTCTTCAATCTTCAATTGTCTTGAAGGTATACTGTGGTTTAAATTACTATTTCATGGATTTTTTTTCTTCGACACTGGAGAGCATAATATATAATAAACATATTACTTTGTAGTAAGGAAGGGTTATGATGAAAAAAATGTTGAATGATTGGACAGCAAATAATGTGTCAATTCTATTTTATTGTGCTCTGAGAAAAAATCCTGAGGCAATTTGCTTTATGTACTGTAACAATAGCCTGTGCAGTAACAAGTTAAATGTTAAGTTCTGCAAGCTGTAGTCTTTGAATAAAACCGGTGTATTTTGGAATCCATTCCTAGCAAAGACATCTGTTTTGTAAAATCTCTAGGGATGGAAGTTACCTCACAATTAAAAAAGAAAAAAATTGTAATTTTTTAAAAACACATTTAGTTTAATTACTAATAGCTCAAGAAGATACCTTGCTGTTGTCCCTGCTGAGTAAATTTACCACTAGCAAATATGTATGAAATACTTACTTTAGTATCAGTCAACATCTTTCTAAATACTGTATGAATCACAGAAACATATTTCTTCATTTTTTCTATCTTTCTTTTCAGAAAATAAATGCCAAGCTTCATGATGGAGTATGTCAGCATTGTAAAGGTATCTTGGAGTGGCGGGTAAAATTCAGCAAGTATAAACTACTATCCCAACCCAAGAAATGGTGAGTTAAGATACTTTGTGTTAATCACTGACAATATAATTTCTAAACTTTTTGGAGAATATTCTGATTTGGAAAACTACAAAGTATTAGTTGTTAATATATGACATTCTTCTAATTTGTAGTCTGAAGTGATGATATAAATGGAATGTTTATTTTGTACTTCATTACTACGTTATATCTACTTCATTAATTTCAAAAAATAAAGTTTTGAAAAAGAAACGTGGTGGAAAAGCAGTTGATTCTCCCTACTTTCTGTTAAAATGCCTGAACATTTTGATACTTACTGTGGACCTGTGAGCATGTCAGTGCATCTTGAACAAAAAGAGAAATTTAAACCAGATATAACTAAGTTTTTAAGACTTTATAGGAGGTCAGTATTAAAGGAAACCACGTATCTGATTTTCGCAGTTGATATTATCAAAAGTCATCAGCAACATTGTTTTCAGCATTTGGTTGTCTCCTTCTCTGGAGATCTTCAAACCCTGCTTGGATGCCACTCTGTGCCACGTGCTCTAGGTGACCCTGCGTGTGCAGGGGGCTTGGACTAGATGACCTCTAGAGGTCCCTTCCAACCTTAAGCATTTTATGATTCTATAATTTAAAGAATCTCTACTTCTACAATATATTTGTAATACATGCATTTCAGTGTTTTCTAGCATGTTCTTTTCTTACAGGAAGCTACAATCCTGAATATGAAATTTTCATCATTGTTTATATTCAGAGAGGAATGTGTTAGGCTAATTTTGTTGATATTCTTCCCTTTCCTCTTTTTTTTTTTTTTTTTTTTTTGGATTTGGTTCTTTTGCCTCATCTCTGCCTACCTCATAATATAAAATTTAAAGATGGCAACCAAGGAGTAATTCATAGAAGCATAGGAGAGAATTCCTAGAAATAGGAAAAGGATCATTGTGGGAAAACAACTGCCTATAGCAAAAAATATTATCTGTGAACAGATAACTTAGATTGTGTGCCATTCTAAATCTACAGGCAGTGGTTTTTAGCCCTATGTATAGCAATATAGTGGTTGAGAGGAAGGATAAGGTTGTGAAGAATTTCAATGGGTGAATTCATAAATTTTACTACAAATACCCCAAAGTCTAATTCACACGTATTTCCTATATTTGAACATTAAAAAATGAACTATTAAAAGGAAAAAGTCTGTCTATTTTGCATTGATAATGCCACTGTTGGGTAATATACTCCTGGGTCTTTGCAACTGAATGGGGGAGGAGAATACTAAGTGGATGTTGTCAGTGAGGTGACACTGTAGTTTCCTAAAGGAAGAGAGATAAGACCTAGAAATATTAGGGAAATCAGAGTATGATTTTGTCACTTACGGAATCACAGAACAGCTGAAATGGGAAGGGACCTCTGGAAATTGTTTAGTGCAAATCCCCGATAACCTTTTTCAGGCTCAACTCTCACTCTGTCCTCATATGAGATACACTTTAGTCCTTTCCCCATTTTAATAAGCATTTGCTGGACATGCTCCAGGTCTCTCTTGTGCTGGGCAGCCGCTCCGGTTGTGGCCTCACCAGAGCTGAGGAGGGGGCAGAACCACCTCCCCTGACCCATTGCCTTGCTGGCAGTGCTCTTCCTAATATCCCCAGAGACAGAGACTTAGGTTGCTAGAAAGCCAGCACTGACTTTATTTTCTGAGAAGTTCAAGAGGAAGACATGGGATTTTTCAAATTGAAAGCTTTTATTTGTAAAGTGCATTTTACTGTATTCTGATTTTCTTTTTTTGTTCAGAGAGAGGAAAAAGTTGTGCAGTTTTTAAAGCAAAGTAAACTATTGACGTGAAAGGAAAGGTTAGTGTTTTGCTACTGTGAATATAAAAATGCCTACTTTATATGTTTCGTTTTCAGTTCTAATTTTAAAAATTATTTCTGAGAAACTTAAAAGAGAGGGAAAACTGGCAATGCTCTTTATGTTTTAGCAAGCATCAAAAACAGTTGATTCATATGAAACTGGCTGTAACAGTGCATCTTCAGAAGAATACAGTAGTTTTGTCTGTACTGTCTTTGAACATAGAATGCTTAATAAATGCCTGCAAATAATCTTTTAATGCTGTCTTCTTTCTCTTCAGTGTCAAGTGCCTCGAGAAAGCTGTAAAAGATCCTTACCATATTATTTGCCGACCCTGTGCTTGTAAGCTAGGAATTTGTGCAAAATGTGGAAAAGAAGAAGAAATTGTAATTCCGTAAGTAGCTCTTGGATTATGCACCTTCAGTACTGTACTTTTGTTTTCCTGTGCTAATAAAGTATGTTTGGAAACTGCCCTGGAGCTCATGTACCTTATGCCATATTCTGAATAATTATGACAGCAATTATTGTATTGAGTCATTAGCTTCAGTTTCTTCTGCTGAAGCCAGGGTGGAAAGCCTGTGGATGTTAGTGTGGGTAGTCTAAAGAATTCTTACTTGGATAAAACACTTTATTGTAATATCAAAGGGTAAATTGCATCCCCTCCTTAGGAACAAAGCACTTTAAAATGGATAGAGCACCATAAAATATGCATAGGCCAGTTTACTGTTTGCATTTAGTCTGTCATTTTATGATTTAGTTACTAGTGAGCAGAAGTAAACTAAACAAGGGCCGATGTTGAGCAAAGTAGCTACAATATATTTAATGTGATTTTGTTTTTATTACCCTTCAACTGGAGTTCTGTCTTTATTGAGCATCCTGAATTCATTTACTAGTGCTTGTCAACTTGCCAGCAGTTGTTTATTTGGTCAATCTATTCACATAATTTTCCTTTTCTTCAAAGACTTTTTTTCCTTACTGTCTCTTCAATATAACATGAAAGTAATTTTTAAGTTGTCGCTCCAGTCCCAAGTAACATTCTGCTTCTCATTCCTTCCTTGTTTAAAAGATAGATGAACTCCAAAAGTAGCCTGATGATACCTTCAATTTGCTTTTTGTAGGATTGACAAAGGACAAGAAAGAACTGAGAGTAAGGCTCTTGAAAATGACCAGGAGAGAGGTGAATTGAAGGATGAACTGGATTTTGAAGCAAACTTCAGTAGTACAGACAATGATGAAGATTCTGATGTGCTTGAAGAAAGATTCAAAAGCATGAGTTTTGAAAGGACAGGTGTCTAAAAGTTTCTATTTGAGAGACTGAATAAAATAAAATGTAGTAAACTGATGTTTGCCTTGAATTTCTGTTCAGAAAGCCTGGTTTGATATATACAGTTCTTGCAAATACAAGTTGCCACTTTTGTCTATTGATGCTTGTTTTGGGGGAAGGGGAAGAGCATTAATAAAAATGTATGACTGCCTATATATTAAAGCTGGAATTCTTGTGGAAAGATTCAGAGCCTGTGTCTCTTTAAGCATAGATGTTTTTTGGATATGTGTGACAACTTCCTGTTTCTCTGGAATAAAGCCTCTTTGTGGAATTGTTCTAAATTCAATATTATGTGACTGCTGTATAGCCACTTGGAAAGCTATGTGGAAAATATGTAGCATACATATAAAGGGCCCTGTCATAAAAAAGGAAAAGCTAAACCAACTGTGGCAGTTTTTCTGAAGGAAAAACTCGAGACTATGTCAGCGAGCTTCCAAACAGAGCTGAGAAGTCAAGTGCTCATCACCCTTTTGCCTACTGTTTTTTGCATGCAGAAAGGGCTTGAGTGCCATCACTGCTGTAGTTCACAAGCAATTAATGTTTTTTTTTTAATTGTATATAAGTACAGATTTAAAGTTTGCGATTATTACTAGCAATGTCTTGAAAATGAAAAAAAAATTATAAAAAATCTCAGAATTTTTTCCACATTTTTCGTTTGAATGCAGATCTGATTTTATTTTTCCTGATACGTATTTGTGTATCATGCACAGATGTTCATATGGATCTGCATTTATTTTTAGATACAGATATGCACTGCAGTGCAGAATGTATAGTTAGAATGTATAGTTACTAACTCAAATCTTTCTACAGGTTATTTCAGTGTAGATTGAGATAGAGAAAGAGCTCAGCTAAGTTTGCAGTATCTATCTCTTGCTGTAATTCAGAATGCTCTGGTTTCTTGTATATAATATACTACAATAAATAAAGCAGAAGAACTACTCCTAGTAATTAAATGATGTTACTGAACCATTTTATTTGGACTTAATCTGTGAAAAGATAACAATATAAAAGCGACAGTCATCATGGGTGTTGTGCCCGCTTCACTGTAGCACACCCAGCAAAGACTTGATTCTCAAACTGGTTTCTTCAGATGAATTTCAGCTATTGTGATTTTGTTTTTCTCTTAAATTAAGGAAATACTGAAGTTTTAGTTTCTTTTCAATGCAGATAGAACTTCTGCCGCCGCATGCCTACTGTAGTTGTCCTTAACTACAAAAAAAAGCCCTTGGTTATCAAGGTAAGGAACACTAAGACATTCAACAGTCAATAGAACAGAAACTACTGGAACTTAAAAGACAACTTAAATCTATCTATTAAGCATTTAATGAGACTAATGGCCAAAAGCAACAGCAAAATTATCAGTCACGGAACAATGAGCTCGTTGGATTTTCCTAACTGCCTCAATGATTGTCATTACAGATCAAGCCCTAAGAACAGGCTTTTTCTTTTATTATTTTTATTTATTTAAGTTCCCTTTTCATTTTTATATAAGGTAGTGCTGCAATAAAACACTTTATTTGCCTTTTCTAAGTAATTTGTAAAATTGCTTTTGTAATGATTTCTGAGAAACAATAATTGCAGTTTCTTCTTGTTCCTTTTCCTTGCTGCCTTTCAACATGATGCCTCAGAGATTATTTTATTTTTTTTCTCTCATGGGTAGATCTATCCATGGGTAGGTGGATTTTGCCAAGTGTTTTGCGGTAACGTGTAGCAGTAGACTGTTGATAAGCATTTTGTTCATTGTTGCTGTGGGGCATCATGATTTCTGTGGCTCTTCCCTGAGACAAAGTCTGAAGTTTTCTGAGTGTCTGGGGAGTTTTCCCTGTCTCTCTTTCTAGCATTGCTTATTGCATCTGCGGTTGGTCGTAAAGAACTAGTGCTGATGACCCTAACAGCCCATCTGCTCTCCCCGCCCAGTCTCTAGGTATGTTGTTTATAAGCTGAACAACCACTTTGGTATTCAAGCACCTAGGTTATTTAACCTCACCTGATGAAAAACAAGAAATGCCTAGTTTAAAAATCTGTGGAAGGGTAGTGGTTTGTCTTGGCCAAGTCAGATAGGAAAGCTGTGGAGTGCCAATAGTGCTTGGTGGCAGAGGATGACGTTGACTTTGCCACTGCTGTGTGGCCCTGTCAGAGGTGTTTGGAAACACCTCTGTTTTCGGGTGGAAGGTTATGTTGTGCTGACAGAGGAGTCCTCCCAGCAGGACAACGGTGACGCCTGCCTTCGTGTGACATCGCCTGTTGTCCTGCCGGTTGACGTCAGTCGTGACATTGAGTCAACAGGATAACCCCCCTGCACGTGATGAGCCAGGGTGGCAAGTTAAGAGGTAATTTGTAGTGGTCTCAGAAAGGGGCTCGTGAATAGGGAGCGATGAGTTTCATATGAAGTGGACTTGACTTTTGGAAGTGATAAACGTAAAGCAAACATTCTCTTGAGCGGAAAAATGTGGACATGGTGTAGCCTTTTGCCCAAAGGTGAGAGGAAATCCTGAAATGATAGGAAAATGTGTCATGGAACTGACAATAGCTACATAATGTGAAAATAAGGGAAAGGGCTCTCTGGTGACAGTCTGTCAATACTAGGGAAGAGCAATGGCATGCAGAAAAGCAACATGTAACAACAAAGCTCGAAAAGCAGGAAAAATCCCCTCACCATATGCCGAATCCTCTGTTCAGAACTTGCTTGGGCTGTTGGTACTGCAGATGGTGAAACTGCTGACATGATGGACAGCTACAGTGGCACCTGGCTGGCATTAGCCTCTGTGAAGACAAGATGTGATTCAGACAATTTCCCCTGTGTTTGATCCCTCTGTGCGCAAGAAATGCTATTGGAAATGACTGCTGCAACTAAAGCCACATGCTAGAGCTCTCAAAACTGCCAATTTAGAAGGGTTAGGGTACATTTGCTATTATAGAGAAAATGAGATCATTCTAACAGGGAAAGAAAAAGGAGAGTTGCAATTTTATTTTTTAATTTGTAAGCAAAAGCTAAAACATATTTAGAATGTCTGTAAGATTTCATTTTTGTAAGGCTTTTAATTAAGTGTTCCAAATTTTAGGTACAATCTTATTTAGAGGAGAAAATCAAAAGAAGGAAGGAGATTAAAAGTCTCTTAGGACTCCTTCTTGGAAGGCGATTTCTTAGAATTTTTTTAAGGGTAGTTACATAACAGGAATCATCTTTTATTTTTGCCCTTTTTTGAGAGAGAGATTTTGTAAGGTCTTTAATTTTTCTTCTTTCACAGAGAATAATGAATTTGTAAGTCTTAAGAGAGGACAAAGAGCAATATCACTATGGCTGCAGGAGACTGAAAGCTTAAGTGCTCTACCTGGGATGACTGCTTGGGGGTGTTTCAGAGAGTCGGGAATTGAACTGAACTGTATTGCTCGTTACCTAATATATTCCTGGAGAAGAGAATGATAGATGATAATAATTAGTCATATGAAGGATAAAGGAGATGCCGTGATGCTGCTGACACAGTTGGATTCCTGTTAACTGATTGTGCTTCCAGTGCTATCAGTTCTCATTTAGTGTGACTCAGCACTGACAATAATTAATTAGATAATGGACCGACCGTCAGCAGGTGGAAATATCATTCACACTTCATGGGGGAAATGCTTATCATAGTCTTGTGCTGTCAGAACTTGTCATTGCTAACTTGAGCAAATTAACATTTCTGCAAAACAAATTCTCACAAGAGGTTTTCCTAAGAGAGCCCAGATTCACCGCAGCATGAGTAGAGTCAGATATGGATACAGTGCTGAGTCCTAGCATAATGACTTTCTTCATTAAAATTTCACAGCGCTATCAGCCTATCATCAAATGTTTCTGAAATATCAGGCCATAGAAAAAGCATTGCTAGTTGATTTACTTGTAGCTTTGCATGGGCCTGAGCTCCTCTATTTTTGTCCTGATTCCTGATTAACTCTTCTAAACTACTAATGCAACAGAAGCCTCTGAAGATTTGTAGGGTTACTGGTTAATTAGAAAAGGATGATTTGTTTTCTCTGTATACTGGGCATGTGCTTGGATGCTGAGATGCAAATCAATCCATTAACGAGGAAAATGAGTAAATGAGGAAAGGTTCATATGTAGCATGGAGAGACATTCTTAATATCCAGGTGCTTAATGGGCTGGTCTCACACTCTCATCTGTTTTGCTTCGTTCTTCTGCCCACCTTTTATCTGATAGCCATTAAAAGGATTAAGGAGGTATATATGTAAAATAAAGTTTCATGACTTATCGTACATAGCTAATATGAAAAGATGGGTTCCTGGCCTCAGGATGGTTGCATAAACTAGTATTTGAAGCAAAGTAATTCTGTGTAGAGATAGGTAAAATTCCTTGGACAAATGAGCTTTGACATAGATTAGAAATGACATACTTAATATATTATTTCAGGTAGCAGAATTTCTTGTTGTAAAAAAGTTTAGATCAAATCACAGAGGAAGTTGTTTTCTTTCTTACTGAAGTCCATGAGAAAACTATTCTTGGAGTTGTAATAGCGAGAGGATCCATAATTTAGTGTTAGAAAACGGCTTGAATGTGAAGACCTAAAAAGCTGCAGGCTATGACCTTCACATTAAGGAGCCTAATTTTCAGACATATGTCCCATCTTTATTTCATTTGATACAGATGAGAAACTCATATTAGAATGGTCTGGCAAAATCACATAACAATGTGATTTGATTGCATATTTGATAAAATACGTTTCTGTGTTTTTCTTGTAGCTATAGCATGTGAGATTATGCTTTTGTACAAAAATATATGGATTTTATGTGTTCCTGAATGGTAGCACTCACTTGAAAACTCTTTTTAGGACAGCTTGAATTTCTGAGTCTCAAGATTGTCACAAACCTGTGCCTAGCACTTGAGTTGCTATTTCCTAAATCTTATGTGAGCAAAACTTGTAACATTTATTGCATAAAGAATTGCAAGCTACATCTGTGACAGTCTGGGATTTTTTTTCTTCTAAACCTTTGTCTATCTCC